AGTCGTCTAAGAACCTAGCTTTATTTTCCGTCGATATGTATCTTCCGGGTGAATGTTACATAGATGTTTTTATGGCGCTCCTGGGTGTTATTCTTTTTTAACATCATGACCAGCAGAACCGTTAACGAGCACTCCGCGCCGAGCGGATGCTCACATTAACGCCCTTAATAGGCCAAAACCGCCGGGGCGGAAGGGTAGTTCGGAACGCGGAAGCCTTCCGGATTACCGTGCATAGCTTTTTACCTAGTTAAGTCCGATAATTCACGAACCAGGAAGGGTGGGGGGATCGGCCATCCCCTTGTTCCCTGAGAGGTTCGTGACCAAAAACACTTAAAGATATATAAATAACCAAACAAAAAGTAGTATAGTACCAAAGAAAAACAAAAAACATAAAAAATAACCGAAAAAACCAAAAACAGTAAAAAAAAAAAAGTAAAAAATCAGTAGAAATCATCACCCCAGACAAGATGTGATCCGACCCCCCCGTTTGTTGTTGATAGATATATTGTTGTTACAGGCATTTATATCAGTCAGGATTGTTACGATCAATTTTTTGGCCCGTTTGTGAGGCTTGTACTGTAGGGTTTTTTGAGCGTTAAAGCACGTTAATGATAAATTGCGCTCAATCCGGAAGGGTCAGCTGATTTGCGCTCAATTCGGAAGGGTCTTGGGAGACGACTGATCCGGCAAGCAGTACAAGGAGCAACAAGAAGGGGCTCAACGACAACAACAATCGACTGTTGGGTATCGTTAACAAGTTTTGCATCCCTTTTGGTACAAAAATTAAGATAGTAATCTGTGGGGTGCTCGACAGTGCTGCACTGTAGTGACCCTTCACCGAACTGCGAATATCCGAGTTAAGCACCTTAATTCGGATATTAAACAAACCCGGAGGGGTATAGTATTACTACTATTATTACTTATATAGCCTATGTTAATACTCCTAAATCGTTTTTCAGTGAAAAACACAGAAAGCAGACCGGTTTTTAGGGTCAAAATAGCGATATTTTGATCCCCCCACAAATCGCGATTGTTGAGATATCGATATTTTTCGAAACGGAAAAAAGAACTAAATTAGTGTGTTACATCGTAACTGCACTTTTATAATAGATAGAACCGGTTAAGTTTAGTTCGGAAGTGGTTGGAACTATTTTGGAACCAAAAACCAAATTTTCGTGATTTTTGAGAAAACGGAACACTATAAATTCAGAAAATTTTTGGAAATTTTTGAGTTAGGACAGTAAAAATAGTTGTTCGGACAATTTCCACTAGTGAATCTACAGATTCTAAGACCCGCATCCCGAAAGACTTCCGGGTTGCAGAGAAATCGAACTTAACGTGTTTGATTTGGTGAATTCATCAATCCGGAGGGGTCCAGGTTTTTCGCAAATTTTTTCAACTAAAGCGTTTTAGATCGGGTCTTTTGCATTGAACGAGAAGAGTATAGGCCTTCTGAGCTCGGATCAATAATTATTAGGTCGAAAAGAACAGAATTGCGGAAAAAGTTAGGCGGAACCTATAAGAGAGAAATTTCTTGACTTTAGAAAAAAAAGACGTTTTGGTTAATAACTTTTGAACGAAGGGACAGATCCAGTTGATCTTAGTACCAATAGATCAGAAATTAGCTGAGCTTACTGATAGGGACAACAATTTTTCGAAAAAAAAGCGTGAAAATTTTTTGAGATTGTTTTTAGCAAATTCACCAATTTGGGAGGGTAGACCCTTCACGTTTTATAATTTTTTTTAGGAAAGCCCTTACACCCCTACCAAAAGGTAATAACGGTTGAATAAAGTAAATTTAGGCTGTTCTAGACGAAAAGGGAAGGCTAAAGGTACAAGAAAACCTTAATCGAGCCGAAGTTAGGTAAGCGATAAGACCCTTCACCGTTGGCGTGAATTGTCAAGTAAGAGGCTTAACTTCAATAAGGGTCTAGGAAAGGATCGCATACCTTTTCTAGTTAATTCAGACAGCATAATAGCATTGGAAAACGTATCCGGAGGGGTATAGGTTGGAAATCAAGGAAATCTCCGAAAAGCTGCTTTTACAAAACCAGAGGGCTACCAATCCGGACGGGTCAAATCTTTTTTCAAATTCGGAGGGGTCCCAATCCGGAGGGGTCTTGTTTTCACAAAACCGGAGGGGTCCCAATCCGGAGGGGTCTTATATTTGCTAACTCAGAGGGGTCCGAATCCGGAGGGGTCTCAATTTTGCCAATCCGGAGGGATATATAATTTTTTTGTCAACCCGGAGGGGTATTAATTTGTTAAAGGACTTAGGTAGACAGAAGAAAAGATTATAGTGAGAGGTACTAGGTTATTAGCAGACAGGCTAGGAATCAGTGACTGCACTGGTAACTTGCCTTTCAATAAAGACCAGACCAAAACAAAACAGGTCCGAACTCGGATATTCGTGACACCCAGCCTAAACTAAAAAGAGCGTAATTCGTTGGTGTGGATTGAAACCCAAAACGTTTTTGCGAAAAGTGACTGCCCTGAGGATTTTAGTAGGTCTAGCTCGGGCAGTCCGAAGGCAGATAGGTAACACAGTACTCGGTGGGTGCAATAGACGCCCACTTGAGAAAATTACTGCCTTCAAAGTTTTGTCTGTTTGGTGCAGCACCAAGCAGGGAAAGCTTTTTCTTTAAAATACAAGTTCGACTATTGTACTGCGATCGACTAAAAGTACAATACACATACGTTTTTCAAAGAGATATTCTTATTTTTTTTTAAATTTTAAATCAACATAATTTGTGCTCGATTGGGTAGTGAGTACACTATCTTTTAAATTGACTGATATCATCATATTGTGCTAGTTCTCAAATCTTACGACCGATAATCGGTTAGAGTGAATAAATTATATACAAGCTGTACTCTGATAACATACAGGGCTTCGTGGTCACTATTTAATAGAATCTTGTGAAATTTATTGTGTTGTGTCATTATTATTGATAGTCAAACTATAAGGTCACTAGCAATCGAATTGAGTGTATAGGCATTAAGAAGTGACAAATTGAGAATGAGTCTAGACAAGTCAAGGATACCTAAACGAGGTAATAGCTCTAGGAAATTCATACCTAAAAAGCAAAGAAAAACATGACCGACTCTTTTGTGGATCGGATCACACGAGTCCGGACCGACAAAGGGGCGACGGTTTCAGGCAGAATAGTTGAAACTAGGAGTCAGAAGTCCTCAGAAGAGCGAAAAGCTATGTTAAAAGTGGAGGTCTATACGGACCAGGCCATGAATGAGAACCAGTAAGTACATGGGCCGGAGGGGAGAGACAGAAGGCTGGCGAGTGAATCAACTCCGGTAGAACAAGGCCATGATTTTGCCACTTCCACCGGGACATTGGACCGAGAGGAGATGTCGGAACTGTCCGACATCTCATCTGAAATAGCGGCAACTAGAAGATCTCCAACAGACAACACAATGATGGCAGGCGGGACTGAGAAACAAACAACGTCCTCATCGTTCTCAGAAAGAATGAAGAACACCTTCGGAAACATCTTTCCATTCACCATGGGAGTGGGCACAGGAAATGAAGGTGAATCCCAGGAGGAAGAAGAGGATGAAGACGAGCAAGTGGACTTTCGATCTCAAGTCAGCCTCAATAGTTCGACCCAGGAGAATGAGGCATACGTCGAAAGTAAGACTGGAACCATGGACAAAATTGGTGTGGTGAGAACGATAAGCAAAGACGCAAACACACCAGGCCAGTCGAGAGGCTTTGCGATTATGACAAATTCAGAGACGCGAACTGGGGAGACTAGAAACAAAGGGTTAGGCAACGCATTGGCAGATTCTGAAGTGGATAATGAAAAGACGTCGAGGCAGAGAGTCAAAGCCCGAATCTCGACCAGCACGAAGCTACCTGGGACCGACAGGGTGACACCGCCACTAGTGACGCCACTCGTGGATAACGGGGCAGCATTAGAAGAAGCCTTGAACAACATAGTGGGCAGTATAGGAGAACAGAACGAACAGATGTCCTTAAGAATGATTGAACTAGAAAGAGCAGTTCACATTGAAAGAGAAAGTCTACGGGAAGAAATAAACTGCTATAGACAAGAAGTTGGTAGGAGCTAAAAACGCTTGAAAGAAAGAACGGGCGAGCACATAGCGAAGAACTTGTCGCGAATGACAAGAGAAGCGGAACAGAGAGAGTTACGCTTAAGGGACAACATGGAGAAGTTAAGAGTTCAGCAAGAGCAGTCTCTTGGGACTCTTGACACAAAGATAGATGCGATGATGGAGAGGTAAACTCAGGCTATCATGGATAGGTTGGACGGGCTACTAGGCAGCAAGAGTGGACCAAAAGAAGGGGAACCGAACTCGGGAGGTCCCAGCAGGGAGCCGAAGGTGAACTTCAATGACCATCAAAGGAGGAGGACATATAGATCCACTAGAGGTAGGGGCAATTCATCAGGCTATACCACAAGGGATAATAGAACATGGGACCCAAACAGTAGAGCAAGTTCAACAGGGAACAGACAGACCTCTAACGAAAGACCGACGCAAGGCACACATGCGACTGGGAGAGGTGATTCCGGTAACAGGAGACATGCGAGCCCAGGGAGGAGTCATGTGGGCCAAGGGGGAAACACTCACGGCGATTCGGATTGCAGGGATGCACCAAATACAGAGCCATTAACAAGGTGTGAGGTCACTCAGGCGGGGCACTCGAGAGATGCTGTGGCAATGGTCACAGCCTTTGAGCCCCTGAACAGGTCTTTGGAGACATTCCTGACGAGTTTATCCAGAACCAATGAACGCAGTTATAAGTCCAGAAGAGTCTTTAAGAAACCAAGATGCTACAAAGACGAATCTGATGGCTGTATTGATACCTAGATAGAGGTAATGAAACTGAATTTTGAGGAAGAGGATTTATCGGAAAGACAAGACTGCAGTGCGCTTACCAGTAACTTGGAAGGGACAGCCCTGAACTGTGTCATGGCCAACAAGCAATATCAGCGAGATACAGCGGAGAAAATCTTCGAAATCTTATTAAATCGTTTCGGATCAGGGATGCAGGGGCACGAGGCAATGATGCGCTTCGAGAAACGGAGACAACGAGAAGATGAGACGATAGACAAGTTTCTAGACGATTTGGAGATGCTTAGAAGACGCAGCCAACCGGATGAGTCAAACAGAAGGATGAACCTGGCGGTAGCCTCTAATTTCATCGATGGTGTGAAGAATGATGAACTTCGAACAATGCTTGCGACGCATTACACACCACTATCAACCAATGCGCCAACACCAGAGCAGTTGAGGCTCAAGCCGAAAGAATATCTTTTGTTGAAACCTCCTTCGAGATCTGGATATTATAAGAACAATTATGGCAATTTTAACAACGGACCAGCCAACCAAGGGAACAACTGGTACAAATCGAGGGATGATATGGACAAGAGACGCTCTTGTGCCAATTGCAGTTCAACGGACCATCATGTGTCAGCATGCCCAACTTACAAACAAGGCATGAAAGGAATAGGCTTTAGCCTCGAGGACGAAGATGCGTCAGAATTTGACCATGAGGATTTCATGAGAGGAGTAATTGCAAAATTCGGCCCGAGGTGTTTCTTTTGCAACTTGGAAGGTCATTTTAAATCAGATTGTCCGCAATTCTGGGATGCAGTGGCAGACATCAAGCATCCAAGGCATGAGGAAGCTTTATCAGGAGTGAAAGCCAGCAAGGCTCGCCTGTTGAGTGAAGAGGAGGCGCGCAGAAAAGACAAACCGCAAGAGCTGGCTACGAAGAAAATGCAAGCGGTAACCAAAGAGACATGTGAACCGGAAACAGTGACTGCGGCCGATGACTTCAAGATTGGTTATAGGGCAATCGCGAGGGATGCTCTAAATAGAGTGCAGCAGGAACTGGTGACAAAAGAGATCGAACAGAAAGTGAAACTCGAACTGGAAAATGAGAAGCTACAGGAGCAACTGAATACCTTCGAAGCAACGGAGGTCGAAGAGACTAAAGCACCAAGCAGTTTGAGCATGAAACTTAATGTGATCTCCGGTCAGAGGTTCGGCATGGTGCCGCAAGGAAGCAAGATACAGTCGATAATCTCGGTGGCTGGACACCAGGTAATCAGAAATCTGAGTAAACCATCCCAGTTCACTTTGATGCATTTGGACACATATGCAGATTATCTGAGGCAGGTGGAGCCACGCACTGAGTCGAGAGCTGTGCGAGCACTACTAACAACGGGTGGCCCTCGCATAAAGAAACTGCATGGACGCTACGTGGAAGTCTATGGGCCGTATCAAGTGATGCTGAACGTGGATGGAATCAGTATCTACACTAGGACTTATGTAACAACAGATAGTGACCAAATAGGGCAGATCTATTTGGGTGAGGAGGAACTCAAAGTCCGCAGGATAGGCCATGACGCTATGATGGAACCAGATGCAGTACACATTGGGTATGAAGCAGATGTGATCGCACATCTGCTCGACACCAACGGGACGAAAATTGGAGTCACGGGGCTTGTGGACACAGGAGCGTTAGTGAGTGTGATGCCGATAAAAACTTGAGAAAGAATGGGCTTCACGAGGGAAGATCTAATTCCAACGAATCTCCGACTGGCCGCCGCCAATCGAGGAGCGATCTACGTAGCCGGAAGAACACCAATAACGGTTCTCCACATGGGAGGACGGGATCTTTGGATGAGCTTCCTGGTGGTAGAAAATTTGGACGACGCCGACCAATTCATCTTGGGCAGAGATTTCGTCAGGAATTTTGACGTGATGATTGACTTGAACAACGGTCTGATACGGATTAAAAACTCGGACCGGAAGTATGTTAAGAAACCAATTAATAGGATAATAACAGACAAAAACAAGGTACCAATTTTTTTAGATAGAAAAGTGAAGCTACAGCCAGGACAAGCTGTGGTGGCAAATGAGAAATTTAAATTCGTTAAGCGTTAGTAAACAGGTTTGTTTAGTACCGAATCCAAATAGTCAGAGTTCGGTGATTTTAGGCCGGAGCTTCTCGGTAACGCAAAACGGACTGTGTGTCAGTGTGTTATTGAACACACTGGACACCACGGTTTCAATCCAGCGTGGAAAGAAGCTTGGTTACGCTTTGCCGATGAGGACAGACTATGAGGAGACACAAAACTTGAAGAAACATAGTGTGAAAGACTGTCCTTTCCATGCCAACAAAGATAAAATTTTAAAGAGGATTAATGAATTAAAATCTATTCATAAATTGTTTTCAATGAAATCCGAAACGGATGACGGCTTATCGAGCTGCTCGAATTTTCCGGAACGCCCATCGTCAAATGAACTAGAATCTGACAAACCGGTTTTGCCAGAGATAGAACATTTAAAAGGGAAAATAGGTGAGGGAGATTTCGAAAAATTGCGGGACCTCCTTAATCGGAACGCAGATGTATTTTCAAAACATAAGGCGGATATCGGTTGCTGTAACTTCGTTGAACACGAAATTGAACTAGAAGAAGGTGCCGTTCCGCACAGAGAAGGCGCGAGACGAATGACGCCACACAAGTCGGAAGCATGCCGAGCGGAAATCGAAATGCTGCTTGAATACGACATGATAGAACCCTCGAAATTGACGTGGGCTTGCGGGGCGGTAATGGCAAAAAAGAAAGGGGGCAGCTTAGGTTTTGTTGCAATAAAAGATGCGTACCCGATACCGCGGATAGACGAGAGCCTCTCCGAACTTGGTGATGCCAAGTTCTTCACAACATTAGACTTGGGTTCGGCCTTCTGGCAGGTCCCTCTGGGGAAGAAGGATAGAGAGAAAACCGGATTCGCGTGCGAATTAGGATTGTACCAGTGGAAGAGGATGCCCTTCGGCTTGTGCAATGCAACGGCCACTTTTCAAAGACTGATGGCTCAGGCTTTGACCAGAGTGACCAGGAAGTACGGGAATCTGGTGATGTGTTACGTGGACAACGTGGTCATAGCGACACCAACCCTGGAAGACCACATTGATTGGCTCGATGAGGTCTTTGGATGCATGAAAAGAGCAGGCTTGAAGTGCAAACCATCGAAATGTGAAATCTTTAGGGATTCAATCAAGTACCTGGGAAGAATGGTGGACAGGTATGGGGTGAGGCCGGACCCGGAAGCAGTAGAAGCAGTGTTGACATGGAAGGCTCCCAGAACAGACACACAGCTCCTGAGCTTCCTAGGGTTTGCCAACTACTACCGGGAGTTCATAAAAGGATATGCGGACAAGGTGTATCCGATGCAGAAGCTGATGCGCAACAAAGGGAAAAAGTTCGAATGGAACGATGAAGCACAAGTTGCCTTCGAGAACATAAAGCGGGAACTGTGCGTAGCGCCAGTGCTAGGCATGCGTACAGAAAAGGGCATGTATGTTCTTGACACAGACGCATCGGTAGTACACATCTCAGGAATATTGCATCAGGAGCAAGAATGGAATGGAAAAACGGTTCTCCGTCCCATTGCATACGGCAGCAAGGTCTTGAGTGACACTGACATGAAATATGGTGCACCAAAAGCAGAAATGTTTGCAGTAGTCACATTTGTGGAAAAATACCGCGCATATTTGGGGAGCGCTCCCTTTAAGTTACGCGTGGACATCAGAGCGTTATCCTGGTTGAAGACCTACTCGATGGATCAGAGTTTTATTGGTAGATGGATAGTAAGATTGGATGGCTACCCAATGATAATCGAGCACAGGATGCGTGATAAACACCAGAATGCTGACAGCCTCAGTAAGAAAACTGAGTTCTATGAAAGATTGGAACAGAAGCAAGCCAATCAAGCAGAAATAAAGGAGGGATTCTCGTTTCTGGACAAAGAAACTTATGAAGCGCTTCCCTTAACGAGATGGTTGGATAAGTCTGGACATCCAATTCCAGGGCATCCTGAGTTACCTGTCGAGAAAGCAGCCGAGATAAAAATCCTATCCAAGGAGGACCCGGTCCCCTTGGATCTGTTGCTGCGCTCAAACCTGGTCCAACAAGAACTCTCTCGCATGAACATAAACAGCCTCTCATTTTTAGATAAAACGGTGCAGGTCACACCGCAAGTGATGCGGATGCTGGGTGGATTGTTAGAAAGAGAAGTGACCAGAGATGACCCCGAGTGGACAGCAGCAGTGGCATCACTAACAGTTAGGGAGAAGGTGAAGATCATGCCATCCAGACGACAACACGAAGAGAACGAGAGGGATTGTAGGACAATAGTTCAGCAACTAGTATCCTCAATACCACATGAGATTTTAACCAATACTTCATACGGACGGAAAGAACAGGGGGCAATACGCGAAGGAAAATTGTTACCTTTGTGGACCAGGATAAAGAAGGGGTAAAGGTGGAACGAAACCTGGTGCAAGATTGTTTGTCCGGGGAGACGAATAATGAGAAGAGCCAGCGAGCACAAGAACAACACTCGGGACAAGGAAGTTTGTCCGGGGAGTCTGAGATAGATGAAGAAGTTCCTGATGAAAAACAGGATAGGGGGAACAAAGTTTTGTCCGGGGAGTTCAGATGGATGCGAAGAAGGAACGAACATGATCTGGAGCAGAGATGTACCAGGACCCTGATAGTGATCGCTACCTCATACCAAGTGAGAAGGTCTTTGACAACGCAGCGGATGATTTGGAAACAATAGCGGTATCGAAACGTTCGATAAGTCTGTTGCCACAAAAAGAGGTATTCAGGACTGATCTTCAGCCGTTCAAGCAAGAAACACAGCCGTTGGCGAAGATTTGGTGCGTTAAGATGGAAGAAGACACCCACCAGCCCAATGAGCTGAATAGTCAGATGAGGGTCATGAAGACGTACTTGAAGGCGAGATACAGACTCTCGGATCTTCTAAGGGCGCAGAGAAATGATCGCAATGACAAGCAACCTGAAAAGGTGGATCGAGAATGGTTCTCCTGATAAAGGAGACCTCGAGGAAGACAGTTACCGTATCCTGAGACAGTACTTCATGCAGAAGGAGGGGAGGTTATATTTGAATAAGGACGGGATTGTGGCTTGCAAGAGAAGAGAAGAAGACAAAGT